GTAAGGGGGCCGGTCTTCAGTTTAGGGGATTAGGGGATTAGAGTTTAGGGGATTAGGGTTTAGGGTTTAGGGTTTAGGGTTTAGAGGATTAGGGATTTAGGATCCAGAGGTTTAGGGGTTTGGGCTGGTAGGGGTTGAGGGTTTCGGGTTTAGGGGTGTAGAGGTTTAGGGTTTGGGGTTTAGGGTTTACGGGTGTAGGGGTTCAGGGATTTAGGGTTTAGGGGTTGAGGGTTTGAGGGTGTAGCGGTTTAGGGCTTAGGGTTTGGGGGTTTAGGGTTTCGGGGTCCGAGGGCTGAGGCTGAGGGTCTGGACTCATTAGAGGTGTATTTTGGGATTCATGGGGGCTAGGCTGATGGGTTGCCGAGAGTTCGCTTCAGGTCCGTTGGAGGTTGAAGCTAGGTTTGGGTTGAGGTTTGGGGTTTAGCGGGTTCTGCCGGAAAGAAAAGGGCAGAGAGATCATAAGACGGGTTCCCTTCACAAGTCAAGCCAGCGAACGGGGAAGTTTTCTGGCCCGCCCCAGTAGTGGGTTCTCAGGTCTCACAGACCTTTCACACCCTACTTGCCCATGGGACCGAGGTAGTCCTTATGAGCGCCTTGGGTTCAGGATTTAGGGCCTTAGGGTTTAGGCTTAGGGCGAAGGCTCACCAAAATTCGCAACTGCTGACCAGTTGCAGAGGGTTGGGAATACGGGTGAATCAGAATCTTAAACCATGAGCGGCGCTGAATATCTTGGTGGCAGAGGCATGTAACCAATTATGCAAGAACGGGCATGTATGCATTGGGAATTGCAACAGTTGTAGAAGTGAGAAGCGATCCATCACATCATGTTTTGGATGGGACGGGTTGTTTGGGTAGGGTTGGGGGCAAAGACTTGCGCTTGAAGCATCTGAGGATAAGTCTGGCTGGAAGATGACACATCCTTGCAAGCCACATGAGTCATAGTCTAAACTCCTTGCCCATAAAATCCCTGATGCAACCCCCTTTGAGGAGTTGAGACTCACATGAATTCAACATCAGCAACAATTTTCAAACTCGTCAACCTGGCTTGAACAGAGATATACTGCATGCAACCCATTGTCTGAGGCTCGGCGTAACCTGAACTCTGAACCCTAAACCCCTAGACCCTATAAACCCTTATGCCCTGAACCCTAAACCCCCCTAAACCCTTAACCCTGAAATGGGGGAGGCCACCATCGACTGGGCCACCAAGGCAAGGGCTTCACCGTGCGCCCGTTCTTGCCACATAGTCTAAACTCCTGAAAGGCTGCCTTGATAGGGTTATGTAGGGGACTACTGTAGGGCTCATTAAGGAAGATACGAGGAGTTTAGATTATAGCTCATATGGATATGTCTCAAGATATCCTCGAAGTAATCCTCGGTGACCCCTGAGAATCGCATTGTTGTACAGCGCCAAAATGGCAGTTGTTGAAAGTTGTGGGTCCTGCGTAGACCATTGCATGGCTTGTAGATGTTTTACGTATGCGTGACCCCACACTGGCAGGGAAGCGTAAGGTCATATCCGAATTTCCCAACATGGCTGTCCACCCACTTTACATACACAAAAATGTGTTGCTGATCGATACTCCTTGTTATAGGGTATCACATAACAGGGCATAGAAGGTTTGGAAGTCTCCATATGAGCTATAGCTATAGTCTAAACCCCTAGTATCCTCTTGAATGACCCCCATAATAGTCCCCTATATAATCCCCTATAAAACCCCCTTCACCGAGTTTAGATTATAGCTCATATATTAACCCCAATACAATATAGTAGTTTCCATTATCTTCTCCAGTATCCCAATATAACACCAATCTTACCCCTATGAAACCCTATATAACCCCTAAACCCTAAACCCTAATCCCTATAAACCCCTATATCCTTTTGAGAGATGGGTAACATGCGCTTCTTCAGGCCCGGACCTACATCAGCCAGGCTCGTTGACGCCAGTCTCATGCGTGACGTGCTTTCCAGAGTTGCTTCACCTCGCTGGTGAAAAAGTACCCTAAATATACATAGTCGTGTGTGTATATATGTAGAGAGAGGGAGAGATGATTAAAGTCATAGAAGTTAGCATTATTCGAGAATGCAGCAGCATTTTCTTGAAATTAACACTGTTGGACGGTCCTGTACTTGAACTGCTTGGATATTGTGGTAGCTTAGAGCCCTGAGACGCATGCAGACTTACTGTAGACAACATTTGCGAAGCGATCCAAAGACCATACTTGGGTTTGGAGTCGACAGGTTGGCGGTAATGCTTGAATCCTACCCTACACCCCTAAGCCCCCAAACGCTAGACCCTACAACCTCAAATCTGACCTACACGCTAAACCCTACATCCTCAAATCCTACCTAAACCCTAAACCCTACAACCTCAAATCCTACCTAAACCCTACAACCGAAACGCTACCCAAAGCCAAGCCCTTCACCAGAAGGCACGCGGTTCGGAGAACAGCCTGGCCCAAGAAGCACAGAAGTGCAGCGAAAGCGGCTTGACTTCACAGGAAGCTTACTGGGGGTTAGTAGGGAATAGTGGAATATATATATATACATATCGACATATAGATATATGTAGATATATATGTGCGTATACATAAATATGTGTGTATGCATGTGTATATATATATATGTATATGAGGTTGTTGCTGTGTTAACTCAACACCCTACACCCCAAACCCTGACCTCCTAATCCTGAACAAGCTCTGAATGCAATAGCTGTTGCTGTCGTTATCGTTGGCAGAAACATTATCCTTAACCAGCCCCCTGTACAATCCATAGTAGGAAGCTCGTCATTCGTCCCCTCAATCCCTGAGATATGCCCTGATCATGCAATCCGAGCCCCAAGCATTAAACTCCACGTCCGAGGCCCTACGGAGCATCCGCTGTGGGCCGGGCCAAGCGGAAAAAATCGCGTGGATGCTGCCACAACCTGAACCGGAGTTGTCAACACCTTCCAGAGGAACATGTCGTTGCAAAGCCTGTTTAGCGGCAGTCACCTAAAGGCACTTCCAGAATCCCTGAATGGCAATCCCACGAGCTCGTAGAATAAGACTCAAAAGGCGGCCCAGGAAGGACTTTTTTTAGTTGGTTGCCTGTGTTTACCTATGATCATGGCGATTCCTGCTAGAAGCACAACTGCCGCTGCGACCATTCAAAGATCATGGTTTGTATGAATGCCCTTGCTACATTGTACGACTGCTGTAAAGCTTCCAGTGCGATCCATCTTCTGTCCGTCCTATTTTGGCCACTGAAAAATCAATTTCCAATACCACTACCCGCTACGACTACCGCTAGCAGCAATACGGTGACATCATCCAGCAACCCCCATTACTGTTTTACCTGTCTTTGCCATATGAGCCATAGTCTAAACTCGTAGTATCCCCCTTAATAACCCCTATAGTAGTCCCCTATATATTGCTTTATATAACCCCCTTTAAGGAGTTTAGACTACAGCTCGCAGGAGGTACAGTCTCATTACCCTCCACAATGGGTTTGCCCTCACCTTCAGCTTCGGGTCTGGGTGCCATAGTGAGCCGGGCAATTGATGGCCCCTCTTCTCATTCATGGGGTTTAGGGTTCAGGGGGTAGGGCTAATCGAAATTCATTGCTAGTTACTGTTGCGCTTGTTATTACTAGTGCTATTTTTTACAATGCCCAGTGGAGAAGGGGCGGGTTAGCTGTAGGGACTGTTGCAGGGACAACTAATAGGGATTACTATTGCGATCCGTTGCCTGTTCTCAACAAGGCATGTGCACAGTCCCCCTTAAGTAGATATGG